TCAACCCCTACCCAATCCCTCACCAAAAGAAGGCTGGAGATATAGTACAGTGGTAAAGCACTTTCCAAGGTTCACTCTCTAATCACCATCCCAAAAAAGTGGCTATAAACCCATTTTATGCTCTCTCTTCTGTTTCTGTTGTGGAGGACCCTTATCCTCAGGCCTTTTGTTCAAGGAGCAAACTCCTTGCAGTGAAAGTTATCAATACTAGTGTTCCTCAGAGAAGTTCCTATGACCATGATAGAGTGAAGTAAAGACACATTTGGATTGGTCACAAGGACCTGCTAGTTGGAGTGCTTACTACTTCTTAGCCCTAGAAGCAGATTTTAACATCTTTCAAAAGAACAGGGTAAAATAATCATCTCTAAGGGTGTTAGGAGACTAGTTGGAATACTTACCATGAGTTACAGCACCTTAGGATGCACATGACTGGTGGTCAATGAACAGTAGTCTTTCGTCATTCCCACAAGCCTGAGCGTCAACCCACTCCTCTCTCAAGACTAATGATTAAACAAGTACAGCTAGGGATATAAGATAGGAATCTATCTTGGGCTATACTGGAAGCTTTTCATTACAACAATCTGTTTATTCCCCAACTTTCCATCCCATTCTAATTTACCCCAAGTAAAAGAGGTATTCTCGATGCTTGAGGCCCATGGTTCAGTTTTCAGAACAGAGGCCCTCATATCATACCCAAGGACAGCCTATTTTGTGCTATCAAATTATTCAAAAATTAGCCAGGCATGGTGGCACACACCTTTAATCCTAGCACTTGGGAGGCAGAGACAGGGGATCTCTGTGAGGTCCAGGCCAGCCTGGTCTACATAGTGAGTTCCAGGCCAGCTGGGGCTACAGGGAAACCCTGTCTTAAAAAGACCAAATAATGATTCAAAGATATGGGGGGCGATGAGATGGGTCAGCAAGTAAAGGCACCTTTTTTTTGGTCATTATGAGACAGGGACTCCCTGTAGCCCCAGCTGGAACTCACTATGTATACACCCAGCTAAAGGCACTTTTTGTGAAAGCCTGTCAAACTGAGTTTGAGCTACAGAATCCACGTAACGGTAGAAGGAGAAGGAGAACTGACTCTACAAAGTTGTCCTGGAACTCCCACACACACATACATATACAACACACACATACATAACAATAAATAATATTTTTAAAACTTATTCAAAGATAAGACCTAACTGAACTAGAACAGCTGCTACACAAACCCTGTATCTCTTGCCTAGAAAGCCACCTAGTAATAACCAGCCACCAGATCTCTAGGTGATTGACAAAGAAGAAACACTGTTCCCTTTCTCTTTAGCTAGGGCTATCTTTGTGAAGAGATAAACACAGAGACAGAGCAAGATAGAGAGATTAATTATCCCTTCAACTTAACCCCCACTCAACAGAAGGCACTAAGAGTGACAATCATCACATGTGCTACCATAAATCACTGCAATAAAAATTAGAATAAATTTGACACAGTGGCCCACATCTGTAATTCCAGTACTCAGGAAACTGAGCCAAGGTCTCAATTAAAGGTCAGCCTGGCCTACCTAGTAAGTTTAAGGACAGCATGGGCTATACAAAGAAACCTTGTGTCAAAAAAAAAAGTGTGATGGGGGTAGTGGGGTAGTTTGATAGGCAAAGAAAAGACACCTGCTGCCAAGTCTGACAACCTGAGTTCAATCACCAGATCTACCTAGTGGAAGAAGAGAACCAACTCCTGCAAGCTGCCCTCTAACCTCCATGTGTGACCTGTGACACGTGTGCACACATACAGAAATTAAATAAGTAAAATGTAATTTTAGTAATTTAAAAGAAGGGGTTCAGCCAGGTGTGGTGGCCCCACATCTTTAATCCCAGCACTTGGGAGGCAGAGGCAGGCAGAGCTCTATGAGTTCAAGACTAGACTGGTCTACAAAGTGAGTTCAAGGCCAGCTGGGGCTACAGAGAGACCCGGTCTCAAAAAAAAAAAAAAAAAAAAAAAAAGAGAGAGAGAGAGAGGAGAAGAGGTTCAGAGTCACCACCACAGCTGCTTCTAGCCTTCTAGCACCAATGCTGCTTCTAGCTCAATAAGCTGGATTCAGGGACAAGCATTAAGTATGGATACCTCTACACCATGGCTCAGACAAAGCAGGCTGTCCCCAAATCCCAGTAAAACTGACTACAAAGCCACTCCCAACACTGTACCCTCTACTGGAAGGGTAAAGAAATCTGTTACAGGCCTGACACTGTACTACTCCATGAAATTAGGCACTATCAAGTTCACTGAATTTCTGGTTCTCAAGCTCTCCTACCAGCATCTGGCATGAGAAATTGCTCAGGACTTCAAAACAGAGTTGTGCTTCTGGAGTGCAGAAACTGGTGCTTTATAGGAAGCCTATCTGATTGGCCTTTTGAAGATGCTAAACTGCTTCCTATGTATGCCAGGTGTTTAACTATTACACCAAAAGATATCCAGTTAGGGGCAGTGAGGTAAATATTCCTGCTGCCAAGTTTGAGTTCAACTTCCCAGACCCACATGATAGAGGGAGAGAACAGACTCCCAAAAGTTTTATCTGACCTCCACATATGCACTGTGGCACGCATACACATCCCACACACATGCACACAAAACAAACTAAAATGTAATAATAATTTAAAATTTTATTTAACTTAAAAATCAGGTACTAGCAATTTTTCCATTTTGGTTTGTATATGAATTTTTAATATAAATTCAGGAATGTAGGGGCTGGAGAGATGTCTCAGTGGTTAAGAGCACTGACTGCTCTTGCAGAGGACCCGGGTTCGATTCTCAGCACCCACATGATGGCTACGAACCATCCTGACGCCAGTTCCAGGGGAATCTGATGCCCTCTTCTGACCTCCGCAGCACTGCACAACATGGGTGAACTCACATACATGCAGGCAATACACTCATACACATAAAATAAAAATAATAAATAGCATTCTAAAAATTGTTTTATGTGTATGAGTGTTTTGCTGTTGAGCAGTTCTGCTTTATAATAATTTTAAATGAGCTGGTTAAATACTTCTGAGCAATGCTGACATTTGAGTTTTTGTTAAAATTAGGAAATTTCTTGTTGGTGTCAAAAAAAAAAAAAACCAGAATAAAAGGGAAAACATTGAGTAACATTACAGAATATCAGAGAAATTTTCAAGAAAGACATAGCTTAGTGTTTCCCAGTGTGTGGTCCCATGCTTGGGAACTTGTCACAACAGCAAATTCTTAAGCCCATCCCAAAGCAAGCTCTGTTTAACCTGTCCTCTAGGTGTTTTGATGCTAGCTCAGGTTTGAGAACCAAGGCCTTAACCTACAAACCAGGCCTAGAAAAGTTTTAACACTGGGGGCTGGAGAGATGGCTCAGCAGTTAAGAACACAGCCTCTTCTGTCTCGCAGGCATTGTATGACACAGGTCCACTTACATACATGCAAATACACACATACACATAAAATAAAAATAACAAAAATTAAAAAAAAAAAGTTTAACACTGTATGAGAAAGAGACAAGCCAGTTAACACATTAAAAAGAAAAAGATGCCGGGCATGGTGGCGCACGCCTTTAATCCCAGCACCAGGGAGGTAGAGGCAGGCGGATCTCTGTGAGTTCAAGGCCAGCCTGGTCTACATAGTGAGTTCCAGGCCAGCTGGGGCTACAGGGAGACTCTGTCTCAAAAAGACTGAAAAAAAAAGAAAAAGAAAAAGTGAAAGGCTACGTTATCACAGCACTCCTAATTCATCACATAAGTGTTTTACCATATGTAATACTATGTAGCAGAGTTTAAGCACCAATACACAAACACTGAACCAGGCAGGTAACAGAGGCCACAGGAGCAGGCACCAGAGTCCTGACGGCTCAGTTTCCATCTTTAGTAGTAGCGTGGACCAGGTAAGTGACTAAGTCCTCAACCTCCTTTGTTGAATAAAAGGAACTAACAGGACCACTTCCTAAGGTTATTGTGAGAACAAATGAGACATTTAATTATATTTCTGAAGCAGCCAACATTGACACCAAGCAGGAAGTTCTCAATGAACAATGGTCATCTTTCTCACAGTGAATTAGAGGGGAACCTGGGATCACTTGTAACAGAAATGAATAGGAGATTCAGTTCTGAGCCATCCTTCTAACATAGCATTGTAAACATCTGTACACATTAGATATACATTAAATCTGAAAAATAGCTGTGTGTCGGGTGTGTGTGTGTGTGTGTGTGTGTGTGTGTGTGTTTGTGTGTGTGTGTGTGTGTGTGTTGCTAGGTATTGAACCCAGAGCTTTGAGCCTTCCAGACAGAACCATCATTGAGTTACATCCCCAGTGTGGAAAACAGATTTCTTTCTAAAGAAAAAGATGTTAAGCTGGGCTCTTTACCTGGCTGTCAATGTTTTACAGCTAGACAGGTTATCACCTTATATCAAGCCCCATATTTTATAAAGTCATGATCAGTCAGGTCTGTGAAAACCAAGAAACAAAAGCATCTATGGCTCTTGGCAACCCAGCAGGGTTGAACTAATGATGGGTCAGAAGGGGGCTCTGTGTGAACATAAGAAAATGACAAGACAGCAGAGAGGCAAGTCTTTGGAGATAGCCTGTTAGACGGTGTCCAGTGAACTGTTCAAATGAACTTCGACTTGCAATACTTGAAGGCTTTTACTATTAATCAATACTCTAGGGAAACTGCCACCATTAGGAAGGAAAATTAAAATACTGTACATTTCGGGTAAGTTTCCTAGAAGCAGATAAACATTATTACCAGCTATATGAAAAAACTCAGTGTATTATTCTGTCAGGCCAACTGCACTATTTTTTTCCCTCTCTCTTTCTTGACTATTTTCTCTTATTGGTTAAACACCCCAAGACTAGAACTCTCCACTATGCAGCTTCAATGAAACCAAGTTCTCACTGTGTAGAAAGTATAGTGCCCAAGAGCTCCATAACAGGTTCAGGAAATCTGTTGTCTCATGACAGTCAGTGGTCTACCACATCAAGGGCAAACCAGAAACATACCAGCAGGCTAAGATGCAGAGTCCTGTGAAGAGGATGATGGGGATGGGATAGGATGCACAGAGCAGCCCATGGCTGTAGAAGGCCTGAGATATCTTCTCACGCAGTCTTTCAGTCAGGGTCATCCTCAGCTAAGTCACCTTGCTGCCATACTGGAAACTGACCATGGATCAGCCTGGCAGATGCTGAAGACCAATGACGATGGACATCATCTGCAAGTACCTAACCAGAAGGAAGAAAAACCAATTAACAGAAAGTACCTGACTTTGCACACTAGGATTACCAGGGGGAAGTGGCAGTTATATACTTAAAGAATAGTTTCAGGATTCCTATATGCAATGTCTGGAGATAAAGAGTCTTTTTTTTTTTTTTTTTTTTTGGGGGGGAGGGTCTTTTTGAAGCAGAGTCTCCCTGTAGTCCCAGCTGTCCTGGAACTCACTATGTAAACCAGGCTGGCCTTGAACTCACAGAGATCCACCTGCCTCTGCCTCCCAAGTGCTGGGACTACAGACCACCATGCCCGACTGGATAAGTCTTACAGCCTTGGTATCCTTAAAAGTGACTATGAGCCACTTTTGTGATGTAGGAGCTAGCTCTCTGATGACAACTCCAAGCTGCTGCTGAGACTGGGTTAAAAAGATTAAGGGTTAATATGGCAATGTCTTAGAACACTGAGGAAGATGACTATGTGGGCTTATAGTTGTGTATTAGACAACCAAGCTAGACAGATAAGAACAAGGACAGGGCTCTGGGCCAATGATGGCAGGCCAGCTGTCCCCCACCCCAAGCCCTTGAGGAACATATATAGGCAGTATTGTCCTTTCATATATCCTTGTTTCTAATACAGTTAACTGGGTTTTTAAAACTTTTTGGTTGGTGTATTTTTCTAAGTGTTTTGCCTGCATGTATATAAGTGCACCACACGTGTGCAATACCTGTGGAAGCTAGAAATGGGTGTCGGATACCCTGGAACTGGACCATGTGGTGCTGGGAACCAAATCCAGGTCCACTGACGCTGAAGAGCAGCTGGTGCTCTCAACCACTGAGCTATCTCTCCAGTTCCAAATATAGCTAACTGTAGCAGACTAAATTGTAAGTAAGGACGGTTTCTAAATAAGAATCTTCTGCCTGGGAGAATACCTCAGACCACCCCATAAACAAAGAGCTAAACATGAGGCAACCAATAAAGGTTGCAGCTCCTTTTTGATGTCTGCGACAGAGTTAACTCTGCTATAGCAAAGCTACAGGCTAATCATGTAAACGTGAGAGCACAGAGAGCTTGACAGCACTTGAGACATCTGTAAGGTCAGAGAGTAGTGATGGTGGCCAAGTGACTAACTAGCAGACAGTCAAGGCCAATAACTAACAAAGCTGGACTCAGGTAGACAGAGGGCGTCTTCAACTATCCCTAACTAAGAGAGCAGCACACAGAATATGACAGTCTCCCCTGTAGGGCACATGTTTAGATTTTATGGGTCCTCCTTTGGTTCCAACCATAATAGCTCAGAGAACCAACCAATCTCAAGGCAGTTACCTCAGCCTTTGTCTAGTTTCTGCCATGGCCCTATAAAAACCCTAAACAGCCAGGTGTGGTCTACATAGTGAGTTCCAGGCCAGCTGGGGCTACAGGGAGACCCTGTCTCAAAAAGACCAAAACAACAACAACAAAAACCTAAAAAAAGAAATTCAAGAGCTTTTTTCTCTCAAACCCCTTCCCCTTTGGGAGTTTCTCTCACTTTTCCTTAATTTCTCACTTCTCTTAATAATTCTTTTATGTTATTTTACTTTATGTATATGAGTTCTGCCTGCACGAACTCAAGTGCACCCCTGTCATGCAATGCCCAAGGAGGTCAGAGGAGGGTGTTGGATGGAGTTAAGGATGATTGTTAGCTGCTGTGTGGGTGCTGGGACCTGCTCCTGCGTCCTCTGAAAGAGCAGCCAGTGCTCTTAACTGCTGAGCCATCTCTCCAGCCCCAACTTCTCTCAATAATTCTTAATAAAGCTTGCTCCTACCTTGCATACTCCCAGGAGAGTCCATGACTTTTTAATTTTCACTGGCATGAGACAATGAACTTGGAGCCACTGTCCCAAGTGGATCTTTGATGGCCATTGAATGTCCAGCATCTTAGGTTCTTTGGTCATGAACAACCAGGCTGTGAAAGGCCCTGTGGCTCTCAAGCCTGGAATCACTCTTCTCAGTCTAACCAAATAAGCCAAAGAATTTCCCTTCTAGCCCTAATTATAAATTCTCAACCTTTTTCCATATTAGGTGTTTTTTGGTAGGTCTCACAAATGCTAAGCAAGTGCTCTAACACACACATACACACACACCCCAGTCCTATATCTATATTAGGCATTTGTAAAAGACCACTCCCCAGGGGGCACAGGCAAGCACACCTACCTAACAGACATCACCTTTGGCTGCTCTGTCAAATGGGTGCTCTGAACATTCTCCCTGTCTTCTTCTATGCATAGGCCTGACTGAAAGAAATCCTTGGAAAAACCTTGGCAAAGAAATGCACACCACTACCACATTCCTACACAGGGATTACTGATAAAGAATGTTCATAGAGTCAGCCCTCAACACAGAAACACTGAAAAGCTTAGGCCCTTAAAATAGCAGTCACTGGCCAGGCACGGTGGCACAACATCTTTAGTCCCAGAACTCAGGAGGCAGAAGCAGGCGAACTGTGAGTTTGAGGCTAGCCTGGTCTACATAGTGAGTTCCAGGCCAGCTGGAACTGGAGGGAGACTCAGTCTCAAAAATTCCAAAAATAGGTGCTGGAGAGTTGGCTCAGCAGTTAAGAGCACTGACTGCTCTTGCAGAGGACCTGGGTTCTGTTCCCAGCACCCACATGGCAGCTATGAATCATCCTTAACTCCAATTCCAGGGGAATCAGAAGCCCTCTTCTGACCTCCATGGCATTGCACAACAGGTGCACTCACATACATGCAGGCAATATACTTGTACACATAAAATAAAAATAATAAAATATTTTTTAAAAAATACCAAAAAGCCGGGCATGGTGGTGCACACCTGTAGTCCCAGCACTTGGGAGGCAGAGGCAGGCGGATCTCTGTGAGTTCAAGGCCAGCCTGGTTTACATAGTGAGTTCCAGGATAGCTAGGACTACAGGGAGACCCTGCTTCAAAAAGACAAAAAAAAAAGCAGTCACCAAACTAAACTTACTTAGGCAATAGTGTTAGGTGGCAGTCTCTGCTCCAGGTCCCACAGTTGTTCCTTAGGAGCACTAGGGCAGGTGAATCTTACTGTTCCTGCCTGCTCATCAGCTGGCAACCTTTTTAAGTAACAGCAGCCCACTGGGGCTCTTGGGATCCTACTAGGTCCACAGGGTCTGGTCATAAGTCAAAGCGCACCTCCTTGATTCAAGCCATGCCAGCTGGGCCTCTCTCCCTGGAAACTAGCTTTAGACCAGAAAGGAGGAGGAAGTGGTTATTATTGGTGGTGTTTATTCACCCTACACAGAGGTTTTTGCTCCCAAGATCCCCAGGCTGTTCTGGCCCCAGTCCTTTCTGAAGACTGGCTCATCAACTTTTCTTTCCAGTCTATAAGCCATCCCATATCCTCCCAATAACTCCCTGTTCTTGACTTACTTTAGTTTAACTTAATTTCTGTTATTTGTAAAGAATCTTAAGCCAATCAAATAAAATAGGAAACTCTTAACAGAAAGCCAACGTATCTAGAATTCTCCTCTTGACTAAATTCCCCAATGGAATTCAAGTTTAAATTCACTTCTGTCCCATGTGCTGTCTACAGTCTGTGTGAACCTGCTCAGACATGTGTCTTGGCTTGAATAGGCTTGCTGATGACAAAGCAGGCTAAAAAGATGACTCCTCAAGTGTCAAGACCAGAAACCAGAAGCAAAGGGACTAACTCACAAGCCAAAAGCAAGAACCATCACTCCTACCTTCATGGAAGCACTAGGCTTAAGTGCACATGCAATCCAGTCTAGGAACCTTGTAAGGAGACAGAAAGAACTCTGTGGGTCTACTTACTAGGCAATGAATAGAGGAGGTAGTAGGTGACAGCTGCAGAGCAAAAATGCTCACAACAGCTCCACTATTCAAGTGGCTCACCCTCAAAAATCAGTTCAAAGAAGTCTCAAGCAAAGGACCTGCTCTTGTGCTCAACTGCCTGGCATATATAGACCCTGAGGAAGCAACTTCTTTGCAGAGACACACATTAGCAAAGAGAGTCCATGAAGACAGGCTCTCATAACCAGTTGTCCCACATCTCTTCCCTTTCCCACATCTCTTTCCAAGACCAAGCCCTCCAGGGAATTCTGATTCTAATCCCAATCTTCTTCCCAGGCCTCTCTTGTTAACATATCAGCAACAGAGGGACCCAACTCTCCAGTCCAGCTCTTATATTTAGAATAACATAAAAAGAAAGCCAAAGCTAACTTCCCCTTCTATTTGGCAGCCAATACAAATCTCTGACTTTTATTTGATCCTTATCACTTATACTAATTGTTAATTTTATCACTTATACTAATTGTTAATTTTCAGAGCACCTGGAAAATAATTCAAATTTTAGCTCATCACACAGCTTACCTACCTGAACCTAGCAAGAGGGGACAATACTCACCTCTACTCCACAGTAGACATTATTATTTTTTGGCTTTTTTTTTTTTTTTTTTTTTTTTTTTACAGGGTCTCCCTGTAGCTCCAGCTGGCCTAGAACTCACTATGCAGAGCAGGCTGGCTTTGAACTCGCAGAGATCCACCTGCCTCTGCCTCCCTAGTGCTGGGATTAAACGCGTGCACCACCATGCTCGGCTTTTTTTTTTCTTTTCTTTTCTTTTTGAGAAAGGATCTTCCTGTAGTCCCAGCTGGCCTGGAACTCCCCATGTTAGACCAGGCTGGCCTTGAACTCACAGGGATCTGCCTGCTGGGACTAAAGGCGTGTGCCACCACACCAGGCAGGATATGGTCTTTTCATTGCAGTGTCAGAACTCCAAGATGCTTTCTGTGCAAGGTCCTTATCCTCATCCCTTCCAACCACTGCACAGACTTGTTGCCATTCCCAGTAATAATCACATGTCACCTATTTTAAAAAACACTGTATCTGTGCCGGGCATGGTGGCACACGCCTTTAGTCCCAGCAGAGGCAGAGACAGATGGATCTCTGTGAGTTCAAGGCCAGCCTGGTCTACATAGGGAGTTCCAGGCCAGCTGAGGCTACAGGGAGACCCTGACTC